AATAAGCACTGCTACTGCCAGAAACTTCGTAAAAATTAAGGAAATAGACTGGTTGATATTGTAATCTCAAAAAGAGCAGTCACAAAATATAATATGTAAGGGTTCAATTACTTTTACACATCTTAATTTATAATTAATATTTTTATTCCAGCTTGATAACATTTTTTGAAAATGTTTATACTTTATTTAATAAAGGTTTTTCTTAATGAATAAAAAGTTTAATTAAGATTTGTTGATAATCTGTAAAAAGAGAAAATATTTTAAATGTTATCATAGAAGTTCACTTACTTTTGCACAGCTCTGTATACATAAATATAGAGAGAGAGAGTGACGTCTGTGTGTGTGTGTGTGTGCGTGCGTGCGTGCGCATGTTTATTCAGTCTTAGACGTGTTCATGTGTGTGAATATTTAGTTATTTGGGAATCAGCGAGCCGAGTTCAAATTCCGGTCAAACCTTCCACGTTCTCTTTCGCAAAACTACTCTTGGGGCGGGCATATATCCATCTCTTCTCGTCCTAGCCATGGGATAATTAACAGCGTTGACTATAGCTATCTAGCCTTGACTGTTAGCCAGTCTAAGAGAAGGACAACACTCGATTCAATAACTGTCGAGGAGGCAACAGGAAACCACTCCACTATCATCCCCCAAGATGTCATGGTAATACAGAGATAATAATGAAAGAAATATGTGGAGAATTGCTATGACCAACGTCCTGTAGGTACATGGCAAAAAATAGTCATCGTTCTTTCACTGGTTGCTATAACAGATACGTCAGAGCTATTCAATTTAAAGTAACACTGATGCGTAATTGTCGATATCTGAGACACGTCCCTCAGGCAAGATTCAATTACTTTTTCGTTGACAAACAAACATCTAAACCAAAAAGCTTTATATTCTTTGGATTTCAGAAAGGAGATTTTTTTGACGTTTCAACTTTTGAATTCATTGATCGTTTCATGTTAGATGCCAAGGACTCAACAGAAATACTTCGATCTGATTGTCTGTCCTTGCAGCTGAAGTCATAGCAAAACTCGTTACCAGGCCAAGATGGACAAATATGATTATCCTCTTTGTTCGTCTTCGAAATTAAATTTAACCTGGAGCTCTACCGGAATTTCTAAGGTTATCCCATTTGCTGAGCAACCTAACAGAAAATCCTTACCTTAATAGACAATCCCAGGCGCTGTAAGCGAAGTTTAATTGACTTTTTCTTTTATTTAGAACCTGGCACAGTGCATATCAAAAATATCGGGATCATTTACGTATGGATCGGGTTTTCTGAGTGGGATCAAAATTTAGTATCTATACAAAAGTGTTACAAAACATATACAAACGCACAAACACACACACACATATATATATATATATATATATATATATATATATATATATATATATATATATATATATATATAATAAAAAAGGCTTAAAACACTAATATTCCATGGCCATAATTTATTCCATTGGAATCGTAAATATGATCCAATTCCGTGAACTATTAAAATTGTCTGTTTCTTAATATAATATATATATATATATATATATATATATATATATATATATATATATATATATATATATATATAACTTATTTTTTAATAGGTTCCTCTCATAATTATGGACAAGTTTCTTAGTATCCTCATTAAAGGAAGAAAGAAAATTGCCATGTTGATGCATAATTATTTTATTCCGAGTACTTTCGACATTAGTACAACGTCATTATTAGGGTCCTATTTTTTTCTAAGACAAAATTGTTGTGTTCATCTGAAAATGATTTTTTTTACGTGTGAAGTGAAAAACACTAAAGTTATGTACTGTACAATTTTAGATTTTATCATGTCGGCTGACGCGCAAACGTCAGGGGAGGTAACTAAGTCATTGCAATGTCTACTTTAAAAAAAAACTATTAGTTAAAACCTAGATATTTAAACTATCTACTGTAAAAATTTTAAGCCATTTGTGCAGTATTCATAATTAATTTCATTAATGCTTGGTTTCAATTTTTAATATAGTTAGCTTCATGAACTTTTAGTTTAACTTTAGTATATTCATGAAAAAGTATAGATGTATTCTCAACAAGAATATATATATATTTAAATAAGTAATGGAGATTTTATTTATTAATCCGACAGATTTTATCAAATAAACGTTATTTTAGTGGCTACCCATATTTGAGTTGACTCTTCGTTTATTCGCATCCAGCTGGATGGCGCATATTTTCTTTAATATGATTTCTCGAATATTCAGTCCAGTAGACGAAAATAAATATACTGTTTAATAAATAAAGGGAGCATCTACTCAAATACCACTAAAATTAACGTTTAAATATATATATATATATATATATATATATATATATAGAGAGAGAGAGAGAGAGAGAGAGAGAAAGAGACAGAGATAGATAGATAGATAGATAGATAGATAGATAGATAGATAGATAGAATTTTTTAAAAATGAAAACTTTACTAACCGTAAATTAATAACAGTTTTTTCCTTTCAATTATTTCTCTCCCAACTACGCAGTTTTGTTGCTCACGTCCACTCCTCAAGGTTTAAAATGTTTTCAAATGTCCAAATATATAAAAAACGGACATTGAAAAAACATTTTGACACTTGAGGTTGTGTAGTCCAGAGAAAAATTACAACAAAAAAAAACGGATATTAATTTACAGTAAGTATATTTTTCAGTTTTAAAATATTATTTACGCTCTACATTTTATATTCTAAATATTGAACACTTTTAAAAATTCTGTTTTTTTAAATATAATCCTGATATATATATATATATATATATATATATATATATATATATATATATATATATATATATATAATGAATTTTACTTATGATTTGATATTATTTCTTATTACATTAAACGATGTTTGGTGGATACGTTTGAGTAGATATTCCTGTTTTTGTTGGTTTTTTGCTTTAAATGGTGAAAAATTGCGTCTACCGGCCTGTGGCATAAATTTATAAATATCCAAATATTTATTGGATAGACGTGTTTAGGCAAAGATCTCCACTTTAAAAAAAAACAGGGATCTTTGCCTAAACACATGTACCCAATAAATACAATGTTTAAATTAATAAGAAATATATATTTTCTGTTGTTGAAAAAGAATTCTTCTCACGTTACTACTACTACTGATGATGATGATGATGATAATAATAAAAATAATAATAATAATAATAATAATAATAATAATGTCCCTAAAATGATTTTCGAATCTGATTTCCTAACTGAAGAACTTAACTGTTCCTGTTAAGAACTTTATTTATTTTTTTTTTTTTTTTTTTTCACAAAATTATTACGCCATCCATTCTATCTACTTGCTACTCCATTCGCTCTGAAGTTTATTAGTACGTGCGTTACACCCTGTTATTACCTCAGACAAATAATGGACCGTTCCCTTTTGATTGCGAGAAAAGAGAGAAGAAAAAGATATATCAAAGTCGTTATTTGGGTTTTGAGAACGAGAAAGAAAGAAAGAAAGAAAGAAAGAAAGAAAGAAAGAAAGAAAGAAAGAAAGAAAGAAAGAAAGAAAGAGAAGAGAAGAGAAGAGAAGAGAAGAGCAGAGAGGATGAGGCGACATTATTATGTTTTAACCGAAAATAAAGCCGGAAATGGCATACCAGAGACGTTGTTTGTTTTCAAAGAAAGAAAGAAAGAAAGAAAGAAAGAAAGAAAGAAAGAAAGAAAGAAAGAAAGAAAAAGAAGCTAGAGGAGGCGATAAACTTCTCAGGTGTTTAAAATCTGTTTAATTGAAATGGAAACTTGTGCTAATAAAATAAGCACATCCCATCTCCCCTCTTGCTTGTAACCATCCATCACAACCAAATAACCATTTTTTTCTGATATAGAGTTTTATCCAGAATTCCTTGGTTTCCTCATATGTGGCTCCATCTGAGAAGCACTCGTAAACGCTAGCTGATGCATACTTTGTTAAGTAACGTAACTTGTTGGGTGTTCCGTTGCAACATTATCCCAAGAAGTTTTCAGATATTTTTGCCAATGACGGTAATCTTTTTCAGCGTCCAGAGTATTTGGATCCGTAGTTAGTTTGTCTGGGCAGAGTATACAATTGCGAAAATGATTTAGTCTAATAAATTGCAATATGATGACAACACAAAGTCGAAGCTTATGAAGCTTTATTTGACTAAGTCAGCTTTACCGCTGAAAATGTTTATTCTATTGTGATGGATGGTTACAAGCGAGAGGGGAGATGGGTGTGCTTATTTTATTACCACATTCTCACCAAGTATTTACTTTATTGTAATGGATGGTTACAAGCGAGAGGGTAGATGGGATGTGCTTGTTTTATTACCACATTCTCACCAAGTATTTACTTTATTGTAATGGATGGTTACAAGCGAGAGGGGAGATGGTATGTGCTTGTTTTATTACCACATTCTCACCAAGTATTTACTTTATTGTAATGGATAGTTACAAGCGAGAGGGTAGATGGGATGTGCTTGTTTTATTACCACATTCTCACCAAGTATTTACTTTATTGTAATGGCTGGTTACAAGTGAGAGGAGAGATGTGATGTTCTTATTTTATTACCCCATTCTCCCCCAGTATTTATTTTATTGTAATGGATGCTCGTCAATTTCAAATATTACATTTGTACCCTCTTACTTTTTTTTTTTAAATAATGAACTGCATACATACTTATGACTTGAAACCTCCACGTGGCATTCGTAAAGAGCTTATTGAATCAATGTATTAAGAATTATAACTCCTTATAAAATTTAAATCGTGAAACCACAAAATTTTCATATTTGCTGTTAATATTTATTTCTTAAAACTTCCTGTAAATTTCAATCTTCGGATAAAAGTTTGTGAAATTATAATTGAATGATTTCATTCCTTTGATACCCCCGTCCTGGGTCTGACAATAAACTACATCCGCGTCCAGGGTACGACAATTAACTACGTCCAGCAGCAAGGCCTCTGATCAGGAGGTTTTGAGGAGCGTGGAACCACCTCTTAATTGCTGGTGTTCCCAGGGCCACCTTGACCCGGGGTGGTAGCACCTGTTAGGGCTCCAGCTATGGGCAAATAGTTAAGCCCAAAACTGAGGTAAAAAGCATTATAAAAGTGTAAAAAATAGGTTTTAATACCAGAAATACTTTGTAAAAAATTATTACCAGAAGTAAAATTTTTGAAGAAAAAAAAAACTATTACCAGTAATAAGGTTTTTTTAAAAAAAAAATATTACCAACAATACATTTTTTAAAGTAATATTAACAGGAAAAAAGTTGTCGGTATTAAATGACCCATTGAGGTTGATATGCTGTGAAATAAAACAAACGATACCAATCCTTTAATACCCAGAAAAATGTGTATAAGCAATTCGACTGAAAAATCTTCCGTCTTAGATTGACATCAGCTCGGGACTGTCTGACTGCAGTTACTTCTACTCAAGATTTTAATTTGAAGGGCGGAAAATAATTCTTCTGTAACAAGGACTCCGGGACGCTTTAGAATCCTATCAAGACTGAAAAATCAGATCTGGGTAGCTCCCGCCCAAATATGACAACAGTACACCATTTTCGGGTCTCTGTTAAAAGTACTTCCGGCTGTACTGTTTAATTTTTGTAACTTTCTTTCTAAGTTCGATCTTCACGATGTAATCGGAAGGATTGGATTCGTTGTCCATTTTCAGCTGTGCTCCCGCCCAAATATGACAACAGTACGCCATTTTCGGGTCCCTGTTAAAAGTACTCCCGGCTGTACTGTTTAATTTTTGTAACTTTCTTTCTAAGTTCGATCTTCACTATGTAATCGGAAGGATTGGATTCGTTGTCCATTTTCAGCTGTTTTATAATTTTCTATTTCTCTAGATAATTTCTTTTTCTTTCAATTTGTAACTTTTCATTATTATTTTTTTTTTTTTTTTACTTCCCTGCTTATTTTCATATTAATTTTCATGAAATCGAGATTAGAAAATCTACCTCGATGGAGCTGTAGAATAGAAACTGCAATAAGAAATAATCATTTTGTTTTATTTTTTTTCACCGATTTCTTTTTTCATATCACCATAAATTAAACACTCCTAAGTTTTTGTTTTTTTTTTCTAATTAGACTCTATAAAAGTTAATAGTGTGTCCAGTGTGTTATATAAATTCATTGGAAAAAATTAATCGCCCTACTGAAGCCAAAACAAATATCAAAACTGACTCGATTGCTCAATTCCCTACCTAATCATGTATACTTTCTACTCGATCTGAGCTAATGAATTCGCTTATTAAATGAATTGGCTTCGTCCTCCATTTACTCTCTTCTCGTCTGTCTTTTGCATCAATGTCTCTTCTGGTCGTTGTCACTATCTTAACATTCTGAGTAAAACTTTTTCTTGTGGTGTTCTGCCTATCTACCATCGCAATTCGTAGTAACAATCACAATTTTCACCAATAGTTATCAATGTTACCATTGTTACTGGATATTGTTTATTCTCATATCATCATTTAGTCTTCTTATTTCCATATTTTCTTAGCCCCTCCTTTTGTTTTTTCTCCTCTTTATGTAACATCACTTTTTCTTTTTCCAATCTTTCATTCCTTTACTTGTTTCCATTCTTTAACCAGGGGCCACAAAATGGCGTGGGTCGACCAATAAGCATTCAGGAACACAAAATTGAATAGCGTCAAGCGGAAACGAAATGAAAGAAACGAAAGTGAGTGAAAAAAAGAGAACTAAAGCAAAGATGAATGAATGAATGAATGAATGAAAAATGAGAAGGTATGGGAAACTGAAAAAGAAACAAAAGAAAATGAACGATTGCAAACAATAAATGGATTGGGAAGACAATAAAGAATGAAAAACAGGAAAGAAAATAAATAAAACAAAATAATCGAAGCAAAGGTCGAAAGAATTGTCTCCGTCAAAGAATTAATGCATGAAAAGAATAAAAATGAACGGTAAATAGCTAAACTGAGAAATGAATCAGACATGTATGGCTGACTTTATTACAGAAAGCAAGCAAGTAAGAAAGAAAGAAAGAAAGAAAGAAAGAAAGAAAGAAAGATTACCTATCAATTACAGGAGAAACGGTCAAAGAATACTAAGAAAGTAATGCAAAGAAAATGTAAAAATGGAGAAAGAATTAAAGAAAGAAAAAGAACAAGTCTGCAAGAAATGTAAAAGCAGATATTAAAAGAGAGAGAGAAAGAGAGCGAATCTCTTTCATAATCAATAGATTAACCATTTCCCTTCATCATAATCTTCCTTGAAATGTTTTCTTCTTTTGAGCACTTTACTTTTTCTTTTTTTTTCTTTTTTGTTTCCAACGACATCGGCCATCTTTATTATTGTTGGGTGCCATTGTTGTTGGGTGCCATTTCTTTGTTGTCACTTGAATGATCTTCTAAGGTGCCGGCACTTCTGTCGATGAACCACACTAGACAAAGAATACAAAAACGCAGAAGCAATGAAAACTGTGACACAATCAAGAGAAGAAGGAAGAAAAAGTGGAAGAAGAGATTGCAAAT